TTTTCTTTATAAAAACTTTAATTGAATTTCAATAAAGTTAAAGGCATGGCCTCATCATTAATATTTAAAAAAAAAAATTTTTGAATGAGGATAGAAAGTTTAAAATTGATATATTGTGTTTTGCAAATTGGCAAAGATAAAAAATTAGTATAAAATTTTATATTTTATGATAAAAAGTATTAAGCATATTTATTATAAGTTTAGATTACCAGATTTTAAAAAACTAAGCTTTAATATGAAAAATACCAAAAATATTAAGTAAAGATATAAAATTAAAAGCATATTAAATATTAGAAGTACTTAGTTTTTGTATAATATTGTTGAAAGTTAGTAGATTAATAGATAATAAATTAATAAGAATAATATTGTTAGTGTTTCTTGCTAATATTAGTATTTTTTTATATTAAATAATAAATATTTGAGAAAGTTTAGTTTAAATATGTTGGTAAATTGGAGTTATTTGTAATAAATATTCCAAAAAAAATTGATGAATAAGTTTAAAAAGAATTGAAATTTGTAAGAATATAATTTTTTTGTATTTAATAAGATTGAGAAAGTTTTTAATTTTTTTAAAAAAGTATCAAGAGTTGGTTTTGAAAAGTTATTTCTATTATAAAATATGTCTAAATATTAAATAATATCTTAGTCTTTCTTAGAGAAATAATTTGATTATTGATAGTAAAAATAGTTAAAGATGAGATAGATAGTCTGGGTTTAATATGTAAAAGGTCTGATTTGAAAAAGTTTATTTCAATATTATTAAATTTGTAAAGAATAGATGCATTATTAAGTATATTTTTTATTATGAATAAGTTTTCATAATGCCAGATAATACCATTCATATAGTCTAATAAAGAAATAGTAATTGATTAAAGAGGAGTATTAAAAATAATATTAAAAAATAATTATATAGATATTTTGAGAAATTGATTTTTTTATTTTTAGTTTATAAAAAAAGAATAGGATTATAATAGATATTTTAAAATAAAGATAGGTAACTTTCTTTTTGTTTTATTTTAGATTTAATTTGAACTGGTTATATAATACCAGGACCAGTAATAATTTTAGCAAATCATGAAGTATATAATTATATAATAAGGTTTATATTAATTTTAAAATTTTTCCAATAGCCAAGTGTTGCATAAATATAAAATATAAATATCTAGAAATAGAAAAGTGAGCTAAACAATTTTATTTAAAGATACAAGTAAAGTTTACTTAATAAAATATTGAGAAATAATTGAATATTTTAGTAAAAATTTGGTACAAGTGACCTATGAGAGAGTTACAGATTTAATTCTAAAAATAAATTTAATTAATTAAATTTTTATAATTAAGATTAATTTTTTTAAAATAATAATAATTTTAAGATAAAATAATTTTATAATAAATAATTTTTTTTAAAAAAATTTTCTATAAATAATTATTTGGGTTTTAAAAATATTAAATATTTTGATGTGATTAGATATTGTTAGAGAGAAATCTGGTTAAAGCCATTGTGTAATTATCAAAAACATAACCAAAAACATGACTGAAATTGCAATCTGGATTATGACCCAAAATCAGCAATCACATAACCTGATTTCTCCCCATTGTATACAAGAGAAGCCTCAAGATTCAGAACAAGTCACCCACAATTGTAAGCCTGGAGCCATATGTGACAATTGTCACTAAATCTAAAAAGGAAGAAAGACTTAGTAGAACCACCATGGTATGCAACAAGGAAAAGGTGTGATACTTACTTTCACAAGCTTACAACAGAGCCTTCAACACACAAAGACATTTAGGGAGATGCAGCTATAACTCTATCAGCAGAATCTATTAAAAAGAGAAAGTAATTAAAAAATAGAATCATGAGTTAAAAGGTGGCATTGTACAATTAATAGAAAAAGAAACATTAATGCAAGAAAAGAAGAATGTTCTCAAGCATACTTCTCTGATAATTCATTATAAAAGCCTTCCGTTTTGATGTTAAGTGGAATATGACCCTTCTGGTCCCCATACACCTGTAACTAAAAGAAAATTATAATAAATTAATAATAAATAAAAACAATTATAAATCAGAAAAAATACAAAGAGTGTAATATTAATAAATGTTCTTTTAAAAAAAAGTCTCTATACTTACCTAGTAACTTACTCGAGAGCTGCCTTAGCCATTGCCAAATTATATTGTCTCATTTTGTTTTTGAGTAATGTTATGTGGCATCGATAATTTTGAATTGACAATTTGACACAGTTGCTCCATTCTAGAATTCACCCAAAATCCCTGTAACAATATGTTATACTGTAATTATATTTTTATCTTTTTTTACATTTGATTTTATAATTTTATTAATTATAATTACAGATTTAATACATGTTATAATATTATATAATAATATAATAAATATTTATTATAATAAATAGAATTTACAGTCTGATCTTTATGTTATAATAAGAAGTTTAGATTCTTATATGAGTGCTATCAAAAAAAAACCTATCATTATGTTTTCAATAATATTTTGTGTTCAGTTTTTTTCAGAGTGCTGTTCAGAGAAAATTTATCATCAAACTTTTAATTATATTTGTACAAATATAATTAATTAAACCTTTTATGATAAATATTCCCTAAATTAGAGGCATTAACTGGGTTAGATGACTTGTATGAGTCACATAACCCAATGGATTATTGGTCAAAAATTGCTCTAATTGGATCAGAATTCAAATATGCAAAACCCTACTAACATGCCATATTATACAAAGTTGTTGCTCACTTTCCTGAAGCCCATTTTTCTAACATATCATTTCACCAAAGTCGTAATACTGACAATCCATTTTCAAACAGGACAAAAATAAGCCAGTGTCATTTCACCAAATATCAATTAACTGACAAGTCTATTTCACTGAAAGTTTATTTAACCAACGGTCATTTTACTGACAAAGTAATTCTGGTCATCGTCGTTAGGTCAAGTTTAGAATTAAAGTTAAGGTTAGTGCAATTTTAAAAAAACTTGTCGGTGAAATGATCTGTCGGCGAAATAATTGTCGATGAAATAAACTTATAAGTTAATTGATTTTGGGTGAAATGACATAGACCTATTTCTGTCTTTCTAGTAAAATGGATTTTCGGTATTACGACTTCGGCGAATTGGTATTTCAGAAAATGATTTTCGGGAAGTTAAACCGGAACCATTCACATAATTTACCTAATATAACTATGGGTAAAAGATATAATTGTCTGAAACATTACGGAGTTCTACACCATTTCATGCAATGTCTGTTAGCAGTATCCAATCAAAGTTTCCGATTTTGTTACACTACATATCTCTGCATATTTACAAAAATAATCAGATACATCAACTAATTGCTTCGGACATTTATCCAGTCAGCTTCATGAAGGGTCACGTATTTTTCGATATAGAAAATGAACGAACTCAAATCATGAGCAAGATCGAAAAATTTTCAATACAAACCGAAAAATTCCAGTTTAAATATTTGGAGTACAGGCTGCTCTCTATACTAACGGCTCTAATTAAGAGTCTCTACAATAACTTTAAGGATTAACATTATGAATTTCCGTTTGACCCGTTTACCCGGGTTATATTCCGGGTCAATACCTGACCTGCCCGGATCTCTACCCTAGATGGCGTTCTCGGAACAAACTGGATAAAAATATAATTGAAAGCCCGATGACAGGTTTTCCCTTTCATATGTAAATTTCCACAAAAATAAAGGTTATGCAATATAATCAGTGTTGGACTTGCTTATAAGTCCAGTAAAATTGAACTGGAACTGGACTTATAGATCTAGTGGTCCAGTTTATAAGTCCAGTAGAGCGGACTTTTGGTCCAGAGCACAACACTGAATATAATATACTAATACGGGTTGTTATAATATTTTAAGACCTAGCATAATAGACTTAAAAAGTTGCCATTAGCGATAATTTTACTGGTTAAAAATATTTGGTTTTGATTTAACTGAACAGCGAAATTTTTAGGAACTTAACCAATCATATTTCAATAAACTTTGTCACGATATCTATGTAGACTGATGTTTAGACTAATACTGTAATAGACCAACAAACAATATCGATATTATAGAATTTTTTGTTGATAAATAACGCGCCAAAAAAATTAATAACAATATATTTGCCAATATAGAGGTTCATTTAATAAAAAAAAAAGAAGCCTTCCAATTTTTTATAATTCTAAGAATACATTTTGCATTCATACGTCATAAATTAGAAATTTTAAATTCTGAATATTGTTGAAATAAACCAAAATAAAATTATTAATGTATACGCAGTAATTATGAATCACAAAGGTATTCAGAAGTAACTGACAATTTACGTAGTAATAATTCATTAGTGCTGCCAAATATTTTTATTATGAGAGATAAGAATTTTAAATCATTATGAAAAGCTAAAGTATAATAGATATTTACAAAGTGTGTATAATAGACATCTTAATTACAATAATATGCTATAATAATTTTAGGATTAATGCGCTATAATCATTTTAAAAACTAGCGCGGTTTGAATATTTCAAGTTACAAGAGTATAATACACTCGTAACTTGAAATATTCAAACTGACTAGTTCCCAAAATCAACCTTACTAATTTTGACTGAGATTGGGTATACGGATTACTAGATCAGTATTTTCATCAATTTTCCTTTTAAAGATGTCAGCAATACTATCTAATCTATTTGACATAAACACCAAATCCTCAATATCCTCAAGAGTAACCAACTTTCGTCTTTGTAATTGATCCCATTCGTTGCAATACCAAATCAACACCTGCCGATGTTGATTAAATTCAAACAATAGGTAACTAATCTGATTGCGAATGTTAGGAATTTGCCCCATGATCCGTTTCAAATAAGCAAGATCACGTGTTATTCGTTCCGTATCGTACAGCGGATCCAATATCGGAGCAATGCGGTTAAAAAAAGTTTCTATATCATTCATTCCGTGTTTCAGTTGATATTTTCTTCCACTATAGGCGATATAAACTTCATCAAGTTCTTTCATAACTTTTTGAAATCGATCTCGCAAGTCAGTGACAACTTTTAGAATCATTCTGTAACGGATCTCAAAGAAAACTATGTTTTTCTGCGTAAGAACTTGGTCAGGTTGAATTTGGTCGACGATAAAGCTTAATTCCTTTCCCAGCACTCTAAGAGTAAATTCTCCAGTAGGATACATTTTTTCGATGGCTTGACCTAGGTCGAATGTTTTATCACTAAGATCGTTGAGATACTTTACCATTTCGACCGAGTCGTTAAACAAATGCTGATTGTAAGCAACTTTATGAGCAAGAGAACTACTTCTGAAACTACATCTCATAATATCAGATGGTGCTAATTCGATAAATGCACAATTTGTCAGAAAGATGTCTTCCTTTATTAAAATATTTTTAATAATTAAATTAATATGATATACCTGTAATACTAAGTCCAGCGAGTTGTCCGGAAAGCAAACTAGTGATTTTCACGAGATTTCTGAAAATGGGCAGGTCGACAGCCTGTATATGACAATAATAGACGAAAGTTAAGAAACTTCATTATAAAATATTTACCGAATCATAAAAAAATCTTTACCGGCATGAAATGTTTTCCAAAATGCTTGGTTGGAGATATATTTAACAAATCCATATTATAACATAATGCAATAATAGTGATGGCAAGAACAATGATGCTAAAAGCTCGTAATGAAAAGACCGATTGAGGTTGTCTTCTGACAACACATTCACTAACATCACTGAATCTTCGTTGTAGATTGATACTAATATCACTGCATTTTCGTTGTAAGTCGTTGATTTGGTTACTTGTTTTCTGATTTTTTTTTTTATAGACAAGTTAGTCGCAGTAGAAAACATCATTATTGCTTCAAGGACCAGTAGTAAGTATACTTTCTTACATTGTTACTGTTCGTATCTTTATCGTTAGACATGTTTATTTGTTGTTTTCAAACGATTATTAGTTTTGTGTTTGATAAAATTTTAAGAATTTCTGATAATATGATTGATTGATGTCGCAGAAATACACACGATCTAGAACCGTCCTTTATAGATGATTTATTCTACCAATCATTTCCTTTTATGGTGGCAACAAAAAAAAATAGATCGCGAGATTCTCATGACGTATTCTATATCATCGGTATCGTTACGTTATGTATATCAGGAATGGATTACAAACGATGCCTTTAAGGACTTTTAAGTTCAAACCATAGTGAATAAACCTTTCCATATTATTCTTCGTGAAATATACATAATTACAATTTTGATTTAATCAGTAAATCATTACAATATAACTGAAACAAAATGAATGTTCGATCAAATCATATGCTTCTTTGTAAACCTGTTTCAAATGAGAGAATAATTCGGAACATGCTTATGTAAACGCGCCGTCCTCACCTCTAAAAGCATATACTTATGCAATCGCTATCGCTCTTATCTATAATCGAGTATATTCATGTAACTGCGTTTAGAATGAGAATAATATAAGTCATTTAGAATGATAGTAAATCCATGATACAGATACAGCGATAGCGGAACAGGTTGTACGAATCGGTTACTCCTTTTTTAGAATGCATGATACCGTCCGCAGTTAAGATTCTGGTTAACCATTTTCTTGATCATGCACTTGGAAAACGAGGACTTTGTGGATTTTCCTTCTTCCAAATCTATTGAAACGGATCAATACGATTCTGATGAAGATATGAGTGGTACTAATAATTTTATCGTCTAATATGATCATGATCTAATAAAATTTTTGCGACTTCTTTAAACCCAAAATGCATATCTTAATTTATAATAGGCACCTCTACGATTAGGCAGCGTCGTCCAGTTAATAATAATTCTTCTTCATTTTATCCAAATTTTCGTCCAACTTTAAATGAGAATCCTTTTAGTCGAAAATTTTTACTAGTAATCGAAATTTTGCTGGTATTGACTTCTTTGATTGGATTGATTTTTTTATACTCTCAGGTAGGAACAGATTAATTGACCTCTCTTAAATAAAAATAATTGATAGTTCTTTTTTCCTAATAAATGAATTCGTTGTTATTAGGTATTATTTAATAATAAAGCTTATCAACCCAATAACCGTTTTCAACCTAACGACGGTTCTCAACTTAATGACGATTCTCAACTTAATGACGGTTTTCAATCAAATGACTCTTTTAATCCCAATGATGGTGTTTTTTCTATTGTAAAGATGGCCAATATTAGTTCTGAAAAATTTTCTTTGCTTAAAATTCCAGGTATTCATTCCTTTAATATTATCAGTAATCAATATTTTTTTTATAAAATCTTAATCGACTGATTAATTCATTTGATTTTCAGCAACTGATGAGCTGAACGAACTTCGTTTTGCTGTTCGTAATCTTAGAGTCGTCATGGAAAAAAGTCGTATCATTATTAATCGATCCAAACCAATGTCGTCAGCTCTCGATGAATTAGATAAAAATATTCATAATACGGTTGAAGAACTCAGAAAATTTCAACATAAAGCTGAATGGTTCTTTTGGTTTCTTATAGAAGAAGTGAAAATTATAGCTAAAGAATTTGAAAAACTTCATTTATCCAAATATGATCAAAATTTATCTGAAGAAGTTGCTATCTTTGTTCATAAACGTCTCAAATCTTTAGAAACTCAGATAAATGACTTCCATGATCAATTCCAACGTGTTAGTTATGCAATTGATTTTGTTCAAAACAATGCATTAAAGACACGAGAAAACTTGATTGAATTTAAACGTGAGGCTGAGAAATCTTTGAAAGAAAGATGGATTTATTCATTGATTAGTAAATGGCTTAATATTACGGATCCTATTATATGTGATATAGAAGAAGAACTTGATCAAGTAAACTTTATCAGAAAGATGTTAAAAGATTTTGATCGCAATTTTATTGATTTTGGTGACTTTTTAACAAAGTATCGAATCAAAATTCGTGAAGTTATAGTAAAGACTGATGGTACTCCTACAAAACCAACTATTGAATATATAAGTTACTTGAAAAAAGCTGCTGAAGATCTTGAAAGGCAACATTCCAAGCTTTTTAGCAAGGAATCGATTGGGCATGATTCCATGTAGTGTTCAAATCTAATCAATTAAGATCATCTGTAACTTGACTAAAAGCTTGTCATAATTTTAAATTAGTGTTAACATTAGGGATTGTGTTCATTATAAATCTCAAAGTTATTAGTCAAATAAAGTCATTAATAAATCATAGTAGATAAGCAAAAAAACTTTATTGAATTCAGTAAGATTTTCAATTGCCTGTTTTTGCGATAAAAAATTTTTCATACGTAGAATGTTTCGAATATTATTCATGATATAATAGTGTTAAAAAAATGATTAATCGAGCATTGAACTATTATCAAAACCTATTGTTACGTATATGCTATTAATAATTCATTTTCTACGCGCACACTTAGTACTGTTGGAAGATCAAGTGATTATGATCACATGAGAAGGTAAATGAGCTTTAGCCTTTTATATACTATGTGGCTTTGTATATCATGAATATCACGAATGCATATAAATGTCAATCGATTGTGAAGGGATTGCATCAATAACATGTGAAAAGAACAACTAAAAAAGTATTGTGTATAAAGTTTTTTTTTATTTTCTTTATTCAAAAATCAGTTACCGTTACGTATTTTTAATCAGTTACATATTTTTTAGTTTAAATTGACTCAATACATTATTCTAATTATTGCGATAGAGAAATGACTTATACAAAAAAATCCCATTCAATAGATTGTTTTTTTCTCATCAAAAACTGGAAAATTAACAAGTTAGGACATTCAAATATGATTGAGGATGATGATGTTATCGATTTCCAATTACGTAAGAACGAACCAAATTCCGCTAAACAAAAGAATCCTTTTAAATTTCAGTTTGAATTAGGTAGAGCCTCATATTACATTAAAATTGTGCAAGAAAATGTTTTTGTTAAAATCCAAAGGGTGGTAAAATTATTCCATATCGATATGATGGACTAAAAAATCTGTTTCGGATAGGGTTACTTCTCTATAATAGATGGTATTTTAGATCCCTTTTTTAGAATAGTTAAATTACCAGGCAAAAAAATTCGCTGACCAATCAGATTTCAAGATCTCGTGTAACGCAAAAAATTGCAAACAAATCAAAACAACAAATAAACGCTCGTAGCTCAAAATTTTGCCTATGAAAGTGCCTACTGCGTACTAATAAAAATATTTCCTCGTGAAATTTTACAATAACTACAACCTTAACTAATTTTGGCCAAGATCGAAAAAGTTTTATAAAACAGATAGGATGGCAAGTGTACAAATAGGGTGATTAATTGGATGGTGGTCATGGGTATAAAATGTGAATTGATTAGCCTTTATTTATAATACTAAATGTGTCGCTCACAAATGCAACTTTACACTTATTTTCTATTAAAACTAATTAAAGCTATTTACAATTACTTATCTAATTCTTTTAACAATGTTTAATTTCTTTACGGATGTGTAATTTATCTTTACATCCTCTTCTTATTCCCTATATACTCTGGATCTGAAATGCCATTTCCGATCACAAATGCATTTCATGCATTTTTCACGCGATCGGTCACGATATTCCATCTGGGCGTACCCGGAGTATAGGCTCTTAGCCTATGACCAAAAATAATTAAATTTAAAATAGTCATCACGTGCCAACTAACCCTAGCCCTAAAAAACTAAAATTGAGACACAGGATAATAACCTCTACCCCGGGTATATTTTAAGGATTTTCATTCCATCTTACCCAGTATCGCCGTCAAAATTTTCACTTTCACGTGGCAGCGTTTAAAGGTCTTTAAATTCGGTTAGCGTTTATAGCTGGGCTAGGTTTTAGAAAGGTAATAGTAAAATCATTCGGGGAATTTTTTTTGTTAGAGCGCAAAAGGTGGTTTCTTATGCAAGTTTTTGAGAAATAAGAGATTTTTGAAAAGCGAACGGTTTATTTTGATCTTCCTGATCGTGTAACGTTACATTAAAACGACACTCGCTATTGGATGATCATCACGTGAAAGTGAAAATTTGACGGCGATCCTGGGGTAGTTCGATATTCCGGTATTACAATTGATAAAGGGTTTCAAAGTCAATAAATGAGTGGCACATTTTGAAATTATGGGAGTGTATAAATAGATTTGTCAATGACAAAAATCATCATTTCAAATTTATCAAAAATGAAATAAAGTTGATACAATTTCAATTAAAATTAGATTTTCGTATTTTAACTTTAAACCCTCTAATACTATTTTTGACGTATAGACTTATTTATATGAGGTGTTATGTATTAAAACTACTCTTTTTTACAATTTTTTGAAAAATCATTTTATTTGATTTTTGAATAGATATCTATTCAATAAAAAGTTTGTCACAAGTAATAAGAACTAATTTCTAAAAAGATTACGTAACACCTAGTGTTGGTAGGCGAAACCTAAGAGTTTCGCCACAGACGAAAAGCGATACTAGTTTCGACTTTTGCCAAAAAAAAATTAAAATGGCGAATTGGCAAAACTGGCGAAAGGTGGCGAAACTGGCGAAAGGTGGCGAAACTGGCAAAAGGTGGCGAAACTGGCAAAAGGTGGCGAAACTGTTGGAAGGTGCGAAATTGCGAAAGATGATGAAACTATTGGAAGGTGACGAAACTGTTGGAAGGTGGAGAGACTGGTGAAACTGCTAAAAGGTGACAAAATTTAGTAAAATTAGTAAAAATAGTAAAACTAGTAGAATAAAAAGGTAATTAAAACTCTTATATAATTGTTAATATTTTTATTTCTATATATATACTTAATAGTATATATTATTTATATTATATTTGTTATTAATACATATTATTTACAATAAAAATTTTTAATCTTTAGTAATTTAAAATTAAATTATTTTTATGATGCTGGAAGTTTATACTCAACAGTTATATAAGGTGTTTTAATTTTTTAAATGATTATAACTTTTTATTTAAGAGGTTTTAAAAAAATTTGACCAGTAACTTTATGGAACTATATCAACTCTATATACATGCCAAATATCTTTTCAAAATCTCATTATTGTAAAGAGTTGATGCTTTTTAAAAATTAAAATTTTATATGTAAATTTATAAATTTACATATAAAATTTTAATTTTCAAAAAGCATCAATTCTTTACAATAATGAGATTTTGAAAAGATATTTGGCATGTATATAGAGTTGATATAGTTCCATAAAGTTACTGGTCAAATTTTTTTAAAACCTCTTAAATAAAAAGTTATAATCATTTAAAAAATTAAAACACCTTATATAACTGTTGAGTATAAACTTCCAGCATCATAGATTATCAATTTTATTTAATAGATATTTTATAATATATCTATTAAATTAATATATTATTTTATAAAATATTATATATAAAAAATAAATAATGAAAAATAAAATTTAAAAAATATATTAAATAATATAAAAAAAATAAATATAATCTAATCTTTTAAATTAAGTTGTAAGTATAATATCTCAGAACATATATAACTAAAAATTTTTAAGATATTATTGTAATATTTAGATTTTATAACATAGTATTTGATTATATATGAAGAAATATATTTAAAATATATAAGAAAAAATATGTTTTAGTTTAAAAAATATACTCTTCAAGATATCCAATTTTTTTATATTTATGACTTTATACTAAATATAATTTTTTAAATATAATATTTTTTAATATAATTTTTAATTCTAATTTAAATATTTATTATATTTTATTAAATATAATTTTTTAATTTTTAAATACAAATTATCAAAAGTTTTTTTTTTTTATTATATAATATCAAGTAGAAAAATAGTAATATATAGATATATCAATTGGATATAAATGTATAAATAAAATATTCCTAAACTATATTATTATTGCTATATATATAATAACATCTAGTATAATATTAACCTTTAATTTTTTTGATTTAATTAAATCAACTATCATAATTATTAACTACAGAAGATGGTAAAAGGAACTCTTAAAATTATTTTAATTAGTAAAAGCAGATATATATAGTAAAATTTTGAAAAAGGGTTTTAAAAATAAATTAGTTTATATTAGTGTTGAATATAAATATATTGCTATTGGAGTTAAAAGTTTGTATAATAAGTAATTGAATATTATTTTTTTTTTAGTAAGAGTAGTAATTCTTTATGCTAATTTCTATTTATATTGTTTAATATTATGAGTTTGCCAAATAGTTAGATTAAACCAGTTGAGTAGAGAATTAGATAAGAAGATAAGAAAGTTGTTAGTTAGTTTTTTAGAATTAGTTAAAGTTATTTATATTGGTCAAGTGTTATTGTGCCTTGAATAAGTAAAAGTATTGTATTATGTATAGTAGAGTTTGGAAAAAGATTTTGTAAGTTGAGAATTTGAATTATAGTATGTAGTAAAGTTTTTGAAAAGTTTAAAGAACTAAAATATTGGTGGTTTTATTAATAAGAATGTTTTGTAGTTTGTAAATATAAAGTAAGCATTGAAGTAAATGTTTGATGTTTTTATATTAGTTAAATAGAATAGAGAATAGTGAATATTTAAATTTGATATTGTTAGCAAGTTATTAAAGAGAATTTTATTTCTAATTGAATAAAGTTTCAAATTAGAATTTTGAAAGTTAATGATTTTAATAAATAGTAGAATGTTTATAGTAGAAAAATTTTATAGTAGTTTAAGTTAAAGAAGTTTGTTAAATGTTTAAATAAAAAAAAGGTTTTTACAGAATTTATAAAGTTTATATGTAATTAGTATTTCTTTTTAAGTAAATAAAATAGGTAAATAAAGGTGTTTGAGGTCTAAATTTAAAAGGGATAAGAAGAAAAGAACCAAATTTTAAAAAAAAATTTAAAATTTTTAGAGAATATAACTACTTAAAGTTTTTTGCTTATAAAATGGTCAAATTTTGATTATTTTTGATAAAACTATATCAAATTGAAGCCTGAGATGAGCTGAACAACTTTGGTTTAAGAGATAAGACAAGTTTACTAAGCCAAATTTAAGTATAAGTGCTTTGGAGTTATTTTAAAATAAAGTTAAATAATTTATTTAATATTTGAGCTAGTAATATA